TAACCCAAATTGAATTACTTCCAATGGAAATTAAACAAATGTTGGTCCAAAATGTGATTTCCCTATATAAACTATAGTAAAGTTTACCCCCTCCCAAGGGGGAAACGTGAGACTCAAGGGTCATGAAATTCACAATTTTGGTAAAGCACCTTAAGACCCTTCCATCTATAAAGAGTATTTGATTCTGCCATATCTGGGTCTTGAGAAGAAGATTTTTGAAATTTCAGTCAATTCAGCCCTTATTGGCCCCACCCATCAGCCCCTGGGGGTCAGTCAGGGCTCATATGTGCATACTATCAAACTGCTTCCTAATACTGATAACGCTAACCTAAATTGAATTACTTCCAATGGAAATTAAACAAATGTTGGTCCAAAATGTGATTTCCCTATACAAACTATAGTGAAGTTTACCCCCTCCCCAGGGGGAAACATGAAACGCCAGGGTCAAGAAATTCACAATTTTGGTAAAGCACCTTAAGACCCTTCCATCTATGAAGAGTATTTGATTCTTATATATCTGGGTCTTGAGTAGAAGATTTTTGAAATTTTAGTCAATTTGACCCTTTTTGTCCCCGCCCCTCAGGCCCCTGGGGGCTGGGGACCAAACCGGCCACCAGTTTTGTTGACCTTTGGCCATGAAAGGTTTCTGCAAAATTTCACTGAAATTGGTTCAGGGGTTTTGGAGTAGAAGTTGAAAATGTAAATTGTTTACAGACGCACGCCGGACGCCGCTGGACAAAAGGCGATCGCAATAGGTCACTTGAGACTTTGTCTCAGGTGACCTAAAAATGAAATTGATTGTTTCAACATGTCCCACATGTCCCGTTTACGAGGGGATGTATAGCTTATATTACACAGCGTTATCCGTGATTCCTCACTTGCCCCATCAGCTGTTTTTTTGAAATATTTTAAAATTACAATATATAACTTGATTTACTCATTTACATGTACTCAACTTAATGCAGTTTTTTTAAAAATCCCATTCGTGGTCCGACCGTCTATGAATAATACTTGTTATCACTAGTTATAAGAAACTACTGGACAAATATTTCCTCCAAAAATACATTCGTTCTCCTTGGGTTATATATATATATGGGTAGATATAGTTTTGCAAGATTTTATCAAACGGTTAAAGGTTTTAACTCATTCACCCCTGAAATTTCATAGCGAACTTTTCCAACCTTTAAATTGGAGGAAATCAAATGTGTCTTTAGGGGTGAATGAGTTAATGACAAAATAATTTACAACAGGGGTGATACAAGACCGAGGTTAATGGTGAACCCATTTGTTTCTTAATGGCGAACAATGCATGATAACATTATGATGTAATATTGTCGAGAATGGATCCAAGTGGCCTAGCTGTTGGTGTATAGTCAAGGTGCTATCGTCAAGGTAAAAAAGTAAGATTTGATATAATTGCTTATCAACATTAAAAAGCCATATCGTAGGGATTTACTCCAATGCCTATTGATGTAGGTCGAAGAATATCTACATTTGATCATGATTAAAACATAATTCACATCAACAAAACAAGTGTCTCCGGGTAACGCACTAGGCAAATGATCTTCCTAGTTTCAATTTTCACTTGATGCGCCTGTGTGAATGTATAGCGAACCAGCTATATCAATAATTTCTTGAATGATAACAACACGGCAGATCCGGATGATGCATAAATGACTGAGCAAATGACAAACTTCCAATGCATGCCATCCGTTTTAGCCCATATTAATAACAGACTTTCCTGAAAACTGTACTGGACAAATATGTTTCCCATTGATGCAAATTAGATTAATTACGAACCTTAAATTTAAATGTAGGATTCTATGTGATGCACAACATTTCAAGCTACTCTCCATTATATAACGAAGATAACTCAGATTACTGGGCTGTTTTTTCTCTGTCCTTGGCTTAGTTATTACCGGAACAAGAATGCTAAACCAACCATACTTTGTATCAAACAACTAAATCAATCAAATCAAACAATCAATCAACAAAACTTGTTCAGTTATACAAACTTGTAAAATCAGATACACAGTTTTGTCATCAACAATTTTTACTTTATTTGTTTTTTAAATTTCTGATTATAAAATAGAAAACCAGACATTCAATCGAACAGCTTGATAACAACTTAAGATAAATTAAATAAGAATGTACAGTATTACTAACTTAAATACATTTATATAAATGTATTTTCTCTACATAAAGTGATAACAATAAAATACCTATGAGGTCAAACTAGAGCAATGAGAGTGTGAAAGTTTGGTCAACTTGAAATAAATAATTCTTGTATAAATACTTTTATATTTACAGATTTTAACACGACACATAAACTTTTTTGGTCGCCTCACTTCTGAAGTGTGGGTGTTATAGTCATGAACAAAATAAATTGTATATCCACAGACATTTGTTCCATTGTTTAGGGGGGGGGGGGGGGGGGGGGATTGTACTAGGTCAACATATTAAGTTGATATAATTTACTGTGAAAAGTCAATTAAGAAGATTCAGTAATTAACATGTTTAACTGTTATACAACCCCAGCTGGAATACAGTTAATATACCAGGGTACTATAGATATATCTCGCTAAAAGAAGATGATAACAGCGATATTCAGATGAATTTACTGTGAAAAGTNATCAATATTTACAGATTTTAACACAACATCAATTAGCTTTATTGGTCACCTCACTTGGGGGGATTGTACTAGGTCAACATACTAAGTTGATATAATTTACTGTGAAAAGTCAATTAAGAAGATTCATTAATTAACATGTTTAACTGTCATACAACCCCAGCTGGAATACAGTTTATATACTAGGGTACTCAAGATATATTTCAGCAAGAAGATGATAACAGTGATATTCAGATGAGTCCAAAAGGAACTAAAAGGCATTTTGATGGTGCAGTGAAATGGTGTACTTTGTTTGACTTTCGGCACTGACTTCATCAATTTTAAATTATAAGTAAATGAAAATCCTACAGTGTCATATATCCTTTCTCTAGAATTTCTAAAACATTGAAAGTGGTTTAAAGACTGATTAACATGTGACACCTGTGACCTTCAAAATGAGTCAAGGTCATTTATTTAAACAAAGTTGATAGTCCTTTATGCCAGTAAATATAAATCAAAGCATAAGCTTGTTACTGCAGACCTAATGGATATTTAGCAGTTATGTCATGTGAAGCTGTTATAACTGATATGCAACCTGAACTTGAAAAACAATACATTTTATTTCAACAATTCGACGGTACTTCACTACAGGCAAGTTATTATCAAACCAGACTTTCTTATTTTTAATAGGAGGGTTGACTAAATATTTGAGCGAATATGACCCCAGTGTTCTAAGGTGGGCCAGGGTTTGTCCTAGATCCTNATGTTTAACTGTTATACAACCCCAGCTGGAATACAGTTTATATACCAGGGTACTATAGATATATCTCAGCAAGAAGATGATAACAGCGATATTCAGATGAGTCCCAAAGGAACTAAAAGGCAATTTGATGGTGCAGTGAAATGGTGTACTTTGTTTGACTTTCGGCACTGACTTAATCAATTTTAAATTATAAGTAAATGAAAATCCTACAGTGTCATATATCTTTTCTCTAGTATTTCTAAAACATTGAAAGTGGTTTAAAGACTGATTAACATGTGACACCTGTGACTTTCAAAATGAGTCAAGGTCATTTATTTAAACAAAGTTGATAGTCCTTTATGCCAGTAAATATAAATCAAAGCATAAGCTTGTTACTGCAGACCTAATGGATATTTAGCAGTTATGTCATGTGAAGCTGTTATAACCGATATGCAACCTGAACTTGAAAAACAATAAATCTTATTTTAACAATTCGACGGTACTTCACTACAGGCAAGTTATTATCAAACCAGACCTTCTTATTTTTAATAGGAGGGTTGACTGAATATTTGAGCGAATATGACCCCAGTGTTCTAAGGTGGGCCAGGGTTTGTCCTAGATCCCAGCCATCTACAAGCCAAATGTTATTATCCTAAACCTTATCTTGTAGATCTTTAGAACACATTGGACATTTGACCCTGTAACATTCAAAGTGGGTCAGTGTAATTTATCACAGCAAGCTATCTAACTACTATATCCTAGGTATAAGGATCCTTATAAAAAAAACATTTGACAATTTTGAACATATTTCATTACTTTGACTTAGAAAATAGTTTTTTTAATTTTTTTGAACTCATCTGAAAACCGCCCATTACTAGCAAACTCCAGCCATGTCTTAAAGAGCATACAACACTAGCTATTATTTTAATCCTCTGCTGGAAAACAGAACTACTCTGTAGTGAATCGGATGTAAAACCACTCAAGCAAACAAATATTTTATCTTTCTTCTTATTTAATTATGACACAATAAAAGTGAAGTGTCCAAATTAAATTTATCATGGATGTTAAAGTATAGCAGATATTATATTTGTCACTTTCATTTTTGGCATTAGTAAATAAAAGTACAGAGTATTCAACTAAAAAAACAAATCAAACCAGTATAACAATACATTTAAATCTCTCAAAAATATAATAACATTATTTTGACATTTCTATTATGTACATGCAGTTATGTAAACATTTGTCGAGTCTATAGCAATCCATACATATATAACTGGTTAAATATTGAGGAAGATATTAATGAGAACATATTGAAAATTTAAAACTGAGTAAGCTATTATAATAACAATAATATAATGCATTAGAATTTCAACAAAAGTAAATGAATATCAAAAGAGTGATGACTGAGTTTAGAAATCTTATAAAATAAAATGTTCGTTGTGATTGTACATGTAAATGAAAAAGATGATCAACAACACAGACATGTATATATACCATCTAATAACATATGTAAGTCAGATGTACAGATCAAAGCATAAAAAGTCATATCTATGTATGGTATTACCTACCACAAACATACAGTACAATGTACATTCCTAACAACTTTTACCATACAGGTATATCAAGCTCTTTCTAATTTTCACTGCCCGTTGCATAAAAGTACTGTTTCTAATATTCTAGTACATGTATGTCGGCATACTGGAGAGTTACTGTAGGCAGACATTACAATTTTCCCTGATTCACACCTTGATTAATACAATATAGAACTATTATGAAAATTATGTAAAGAAATGAAATCATTTTGACAAAATACTTATATTGCACTTTAGAGTAAACTTAATATATGCAAAAAAACACTTAATTATAATAATAAATTGTCATGTTCTTGTACAGATTAACGTTTTTATACCCATGCCGATGAATTTGATAAAAGCATTTTAAAATGTTTTAATTGAAAAAATCTCGAAAATGATGATGCAAAATGTTCTCTTTTAATTGTAATAGTTTTGTAAAGTAGATGAGCAGGCAAAGCTATTTCCTAATTTCCTTTTTATAGTCTTATAAAGCTGTTGTAGAATATAAGACTCTTTCATGCCCAGGGGTGTAGGATAGGGACATTCCACCCGAGGGGTTTCAAATTTGGGTTTTGCCAAATTTGAATATCCAGAGGGTGGAATGCCCCTATCCTACATCNGAAGATTTTAAACAAATTTTTGACCCCTGTGACCTTGAATATAAGTCAAAGTCATTCACTTTAACAAACATAGTAGTCCTTGATCCCAGCATGCTACTGACTAAATATCAACATCCTGAGCCTTTTGGTTATTCAGAACAAGTTGCTAAGATATTTTGAACATATTTGCTCCTTGTGACCTTGAATATGATTCAAGGTCATCCCTGGGCATTTTGGTTATTGAGAAGAAGTTGTTTAAAGTTTTTAACATATTTGACCCCTGTGACCTTGAACATGGATGAAGGTCATTCATTTGAACAAACTTTGTAGCCCTTCATCTCAGCATGCTACTGGACAAATATCATCACCCTGGACATATTAGTTATTGAGAAGAATTTGTTTAAATTTTTTAACATATTTGACCCCTGTGACCTTGAATATGGGTGAAGGTCATTTATTTGAACAAACTTTGTAGCCCTTATCTAAGCATGCTACTGGCCAAATACCATTACCCTGTGCATTTTGGTTATTGAGAAGAAGTTGTTTAAAGTTTTTAACATATCTGACCCCTGTGACCTTGACTATGGGTGAAGGTCATTCATTTGAACAAACTTTGTAGCCCTTCATCTCAGCATGCTACTGGCTAAATATCATCACCCTGTGCATTTTGGTTATTCAGAAGAAGTTGTTTGATGTTTTTAACATATTTGACCCCTGTGACCTTGAATATNCATGCTACAGGCCCAATATCAGTACCATTGGCCTTTTGGTTATTGAGAAGTCGTTGGAAGATTTTAACATATTTGACCCCTGTTACCTTGAAATTGGGTCAAGGTCATTCATTTGAACAAACTTAGTAGCCCTTCATCAAAGCATGCTACATGCCCAATATCAGTACCCTTGGCCTTTTGGTTATTGAGAAGAAGTTGTTTGAAGATTTTAGACATTCAACATTTGTGACCTTGAAAGTGGGTCAAGGTCATTCATTTGAACAAACTTGGCAGTCCTTCCTCCCAGCATGCTACTGGCCCTATATCAGTACCCTTGGCCTTTTGGTTATTAAGAAGAAGTCGTTTAAAGTAAAATATTGACGCCGGACGCCAGCCGGCCGGCCGACGGATGCCGCGCCACGGCATAACGAAGCTCACTTGGCACTTCGTGCCAGGTGAGCTAAAAATCATAAAATTTCATATGTTGTTATTACAGTTACCGGTAAGTTAATTCAACCTGTTTTGATCTGTTAGTATAATGTCAAACTTGATTTTTTAGGTATAAGTACAGTAATGCACATTGTCAAACATGATTTATTTTAATGTATTACATATACATTTATAATTCAGTACATTGTGCATCATGATTGATTTTGATGTATTATGGTACAAACTATCCATAATATACACAAAATCAAAATGAAAATTTACTAATGACAGAAATTAATGTCTGGGTGTCACCATTACATTGAACTTTTTATAATTATACACTGTACTAGGGAAAATGAGATCCAATGTTCGCTAGTGAATGTTCAGTGAAGTTCTGCGTACCCCTTTGATGTATTCCTAAATGAAATTCACTGGTCTAGCCATGAGAGTAAAAGCAATTTAAAAGCAAAGATGATCCGACAACATCAAATGGGGAGTCTTGGCAAATTTAATCAAGTTTACATGCGTCGGTTCACTAGGTGGATTCTTGTAATTTTGCTAGCTGATTAAGATGTTATTCATATCAGAAAGACATAACATATTATAACCCAAATCTCAGCTCAACAAATTTTAAGCTCATTGCGTAAAATTGTTCAGATAAGTTGATATCTCAAATCAACAAAATATCTAAAATTTTGTACTCACACGAAAGTCCTTAATAGCTTCCATCGTTCCGGCATGTAAATACCGAAACTGATTTGATCCTAAAGACAAGGTAACATCTTGATCAGCAGAGCTCTTGTATTTGTACTGAATGAGACTCGAGACAGTGTTTATGCTCCAACTTCTCACACAGAACAGAGGGATGATCACTGCATGCTGACCTGTGGCCACTACAACACCCTCGGAAGACAACATCACACTGACCAGCTGTTCAGAGAGGGATAGCTAATAATAATTAAAAAAAAATCTTTTCTGTAAACCAGGTTTAGAATTTAGTATTTACATGTTACATAGAAATATGTGCAATTAATTCTACATAGTTGTCAACCTCTGAAACCTCCAATGAGGGAGATCTCCCTCATTCCACNTAAAATGTTGACGCCGGACGGACGCCGCACCATGCCATAAGCTCACTTGGCCCTTAAGGCCAGGTGAGCTAATAAAAAAAGACTAATAAACAGAATATAGATCACAATGAAATGTCCTAATGATAATTTTCTATTTATAATAATTAGTAAGTTGCACCTGGACCATGGGAATTCAATGTGCGGATTATAACTATGATTTAGTAGAAGAGTTCTCAACCTGCATTTCCACAAATACAGCAAATATATACATGTAACGTAGCTGGCTACATACATTTTTATTTTAAAAGTACAAGTACATAAATGAAATTTGACAATACAATTGGGATGACAGACGATACATGAATTTGTTTAACTAAGATATAGACTCACCCTACCAGCTACATTTGAATGTGGTTGGTCATATATAAATAAATTGCAGAATCATAACACAAGCAATATGATTGTTCCTTACCTGGCACTTACGTTCTGGATTTCATATCACTGAGAGTAAATACTCAATGTCGAGCTTTTGGTTATAATCCAAATCGATTAGTGGTTTGACCAAAGCTGTAACATAGTGATTTGTTGGATTGAATGAGCAGTTGGCTGTATGGTTGTACATAAAGGGCCATANTGTTATTCATATCAGAAAGACATAACATATTATAACCCAAATCTCAGCTCAACAAATTTTAAGCTCATTGCGTAAAATTGTTCAGATAAGTTGATATCTCAAATCAACAAAATATCTAAAATTTTGTACTCACACGAAAGTCCTTAATAGCTTCCATCGTTCCGGCATGTAAATACCGAAACTGATTTGATCCTAAAGACAAGGTAACATCTTGATCAGCAGAGCTCTTGTATTTGTACTGAATGAGACTCGAGACAGTGTTTATGCTCCAACTTCTCACACAGAACAGAGGGATGATCACTGCATGCTGACCTGTGGCCACTACAACACCCTCGGAAGACAACATCACACTGACCAGCTGTTCAGAGAGGGATAGCTAATAATAATTAAAAAAAAATCTTTTCTGTAAACCAGGTTTAGAATTTAGTATTTACATGTTACATAGAAATATGTGCAATTAATTCTACATAGTTGTCAACCTCTGAAACCTCCAATGAGGGAGATCTCCCTCATTCCACATTTCCGATGGGGGGGAAAGTTTGTGAAACGTGACTGAAACTGCTTTGCTAGATTTATCTTTCCCTTTTTATGTATCAAAATAACTAAGAAAAACATTCATTTGATTCAGACACACCTGTTATAATTACACACACCCTGCAGTAACTAGGAGATAAATTGACCACAGGAAGTAGATTTTGAGTTTGTGCGAGTTTGGACTTGAATGAGAGGGAGATTGGTAATTTTTTGTGAAAATGAAGGAGTCTTATTTATTTATCTTTGCTTTTAAGGACACCTGTGAAAAATCATCCATCACTTGCTCTCTGATAGTCAAGATCAATAATGTGATCACCAGATATTTGAAACCAAAACAGTTTTTAAAAGGTAACAAAACACAGAGCTGCCAAATAAGACATATAATCCAAGCTTGAGGTTCTAAATTAAACAGCCTGTTTTATTACTAACATTTCTCTTGGTTGGAGATGCTTTATACTTACAGGGGTAAATTCTTCCTCTGACTTCAGAGACATAGTGCAGTTGTCTACCCTAATAGAAAAGTAGTCCTTCATAGACTGACATACATATACATATTGTTCCTCAAGTGTGAATCCTGGTTCCAAGTATTCTGTAATGTAAATGTCAATTTGTCTTAGTGTTCATGATTAAATAGCAGTCTAAAGGTTTCTAGTTAATTATTGTATACTGGGAAACTTAAGCCCATTCAAATGACATTGTGTTCCCTTTGCTGATGAGATGCATGATCGCCTAGTGTTAATTTTGCCCTTAAATTCACAAGCAAATGTTAAACATTGTATGTTGTGTACTGAATTCAGTGTCATGCTAAATTCATTCTCATTGAAATGGGGAGAGCGAAAGGCAAACGTTAAACTGCAGTGAATATATCCCAGTACAGTAATGTCATTCTCTATAGAGCTTATATATTTACTGTATAGTACTTATGTTTTGTATACTGTTAGTTTTATATTACAAAATCTGTAAAATTTAAACCCGACAAATGTGTTGCCCTACTGAAAGACTAACTCCCTTTGTAGATTGTGTACCTTCATCGTGGAAATGACCAAGCCAGTCAGGTACAAAATGGGTTAAAGTGACCCCTCCTAATTGTTATCAAATGAAAAACAAAAACACAGACAACACGGAAAGTTGTAAATTGTGGTTAGATCTTTCCATTTAAAAAAAAAAAAATGCATTTTTAATATCTATATAAAAGAAAAAGTTAAACTATGTGTTTAAAGGATAGCTTTTAGGTTTCTGGTTCCCATCGATGGCCCATCAATACAATATAGTCATACAGGCCACAAGATAAAAATGGTTGAGTAATTATAAACAGGCAGGTGTCATTCTGCCAAAAGGTACACAGAAATATCAAAGATGTAGAAAAGCATAGGCTAAATAGTAAAAAAGGCAAGAGGTTTCTGGTATATTGAAACCAATAATGAATGCTGTGGACAAAACAAATCTATTATTAGTATCTATATACCGGTATGGCACAGTGTGTAACTGCTTTGATTAGTATATAATCATAAACTTAAGCTGCCAGGCTGTCAGTTATGGTCGATCTTTCTACAACAACCATCACATGAACTGGTTAACTGTTAATTAGCTATGATAGTATTTAGATAAATTGATCTATGTGTAACTAAATTGGACATACTGGAGCTTTACAACTTGTGTGAATCAACTGTTTTATTAACAATTATGCAACATCACCAATTTTCAACACAGAGCATGTAATACTGCAACAGTAAATGAAGCTTTAACACACATATATACAATACGTAAAACTAATCTGGTACACCTGGTATAACCTCGCTTTCTCTTACCTTCAAGCTTTTGTTCTTGTTCTTTGTTTGGCACAAGTCTCTCTACAGAAGAAAGCAATATTGTATAATTTTACAGAGTTAATAGAATAACATAATCCACACAAACCAATTAAGTTATTATCAAGGCCTGCTGTATCTCAATGCATGTATGATAATGACTCTCCAGAGAAAGACAACAGAACCGAAAGCAAGAGACTGCTGACTCGTATTGACTGGAACTTTAAATATTATTCAACTTTAGATCAAGCACTTTATCCATAGTAATTTAATCTCAATACTTTGTCTCTAATACTCTGATCTCTATACTCTGTCTCTAACACTTTGTCTTTAATACTCAGATCTCTAAACCACTGTCTTTATGCTCTGTTTTTGATACTTTGTCTTTAATACTCGATCTATATACTCTGTCTTTACACTTTGATCTCTATACTTTGTCTTTATTACTATGTCTTTAATACTTTGTCTTTAATACTCTGTCATTAATACTTTGTCATTAATACTAAGATATCTATACCGTTGTCTTAAATACTCTGTTTTTCATTCTTTGTCTTTAATACTCTGATCTCTATACTTTGTCTCTAATACTCTGTCTTTAATCCTATGTCTTTAATTCTTTGTCTTTAATACACCGATATCTATACTCTGGCTTTACACTTTGAACTCTATACTCTGTCTTTATTACAATGTCTTTAATACTTTGTCTTTAATACTCTGTCATTAATACTTTGTCATTAATACTAAGATTCTATACCGTTGTCTTTAATACTCTGTTTTTCATTCTTTGTCTTTAATCCTCTGATCTCTATACTTTGTCTCTAATACTATGTCTTTAATACTATGTCTTTAATTCTTTGTCTTTAATAGTCCGATATCTATACTCTGTCTTTACACTTTGATCTCTATACTCTGTCTTTAATACTATGTCATTAATACTTTGTCATTAATACTAAGATATCTATACCGTTGTCTTAAATACTCTGTTTTTCATTCTTTGTCTTTAATCCTCTGATCTCTATACTTTGTCTCTAATACTATGTCTTTAATACTATGTCTTTATTACTCTATCTTGAATACTTTGTTTTTAATACTAAGATATCTATACCGTTGTCTTTAATACTCTGTTTTTAATTCTTTGTCTTTATTACTTTGATCTCTATACTCTGTCTTTATTACAATGTCTTTAATACTTTGTCTTTAATGCTCTGTCATTAATACTTTGTCATTAATACTAAGATATCTATACCGTTGTCTTAAATACTCTGTTTTTCATTCTTTGTCTTTAATCCTCTGATCTCTATACTTTGTCTCTAATCCTCGGATCTCTATACTGTCTTTAATACTATGTTTTTAATACATACTCTGTCTTTAATTCTTTGTCTTTAATACTCTGTCATTAATACTTTGTCATTAATACTAAGATTCTATACCGTTGTCTTTAATACTCTGTTTTTCATTCTTTGTCTTTAATCCTCTGATCTCTATACTTTGTCTCTAATCCTCGGATCTCTATACTGTCTTTAATACTATGTTTTTAATACATACTCTGTCTTTAATACTATGTCTTTAATTCTTTGTCTTTAATAGTCCGATATCTATACTCTGTCTTTATACACTTTGATCTCTATACTCTGTCTTTATTACAATGTCTTTAATACTTTGTCTTTAATACTATGTCATTAATACTTTGTCATTAATACTAAGATATCTATACCGTTGTCTTTAATACTCTGTTTTTCATTCTTTGTCTTTAATCCTCTGATCTCTATACTTTGTCTCTAATACTCTGTCTTTAATACTATGTCTTTAATACTCTATCTTGAATACTTTGTTTTTAATACGAAGATATCTATACCGTTGTCTTTAATACTCTGTTTTTAATTCTTTGTCTTTATTACTTTGATCTCTATACTCTGTCTTTATTACAATGTCTTTAATACTTTGTCTTTAATGCTCTGTCATTAATACTTTGTCATTAATACTAAGATATCTATACCGTTGTCTTAAATACTCTGTTTTTCATTCTTTGTCTTTAATACTCTGATCTCTATACTTTGTCTCTAATCCTCGGATCTCTATACTGTCTTTAATACTATGTTTTTAATACATACTCTGTCTTTAATGCTATGTCTTTAATTCTTTGTCTTTAATAGTCCGATATCTATACTCTGTCTTTACACTTTGATCTCTATACTCTGTCTTTATTACAATGTCTTTAATACTTTGTCTTTAATGCTCTGTCATTAATACTTTGTCATTAATACTAAGATTCTATACCGTTGTCTTTAATACTCTGTTTTTAATTCTTTGTCTTTATTACTTTGATCTCTATACTCTGTCTTTAATACTATGTCTTTAATTCTTTGTCTTTAATAGTCCGATATCTATACTCTGTCTTTATACACTTTGATCTCTATACTCTGTCTTTAATACTATGTCATTAATACTTTGTCATTAATACTAAGATATCTATACCGTTGTCTTTAATACTCTGTTTTTCATTCTTTGTCTTTAATACTCTGATCTCGATACTTTGTCTCTAATACTCTGTCTTTAATCCTATGTCTTTAATTCTTTGTCTTTAATACACCGATATCTATACTCTGGCTTTACACTTTGAACTCTATACTCTGTCTTTATTACAATGTCTTTAATACTTTGTCTTTAATACTATGTCATTAATACTTTGTCATTAATACTAAGATATCTATACCGTTGTCTTAAATACTCTGTTTTTCATTCTTTGTCTTTAATACTCTGATCTCTATACTTTGTCTCTAATCCTCGGATCTCTATACTGTCTTTAATACTATGTTTTTAATACATACTCTGTCTTTAATTCTTTGTCTTTAATAGTCCGATATCTATACTCTGTCTTTACACTTTGATCTCTATACTCTGTCTTTAATACTATGTCTTTAATTCTTTGTCTTTGACACTTTGATCCCTATACTCTGTCTTTAATACTCTGTCTTTAATACATACTCTGTCTTTAATTCTTTGTCTTTAATACTCCGATATCTATACTCTGTCTTTACACTTTGATCTCTATACTCTGTCTTTATTACAATGTCTTTAATACTTTGTCTTTAATACTATGTCATTAATACTTTGTCATTAATACTAAGATTCTATACCGTTGTCTTTAATACTCTGTTTTTCATTCTTTGTCTTTAATACTCTGATCTCTATACTCTGTCTTTAATACTATGTCTTTAATACTCTATCTTGAATACTTTGTTTTTAATACTAAGATATCTATACCGTTGTCTTTAATACTCTGTTTTTAATTCTTTGTCTTTATTACTTTGATCTCTATACTCTGTCTTTAATACTTTCTGATATTTTGTCTTTAATACTAAGTATTTAATACTATGTCTTTAATACTCTATCTTGAATACTTTGTCTTTAATACTCAGATCTCTATACTCTGATTTTAATACTATGTCTTTAATTCTTTGTCTCTACATGTATACTGTCTTTAATGCTTCCATCAGATCGCAACAAAATATGGTGATACAGTGTAGTAAATTTGAATATTCAAATCTAATCACTGGCACATATGTCGGATAAATCAGTCAAATTAAAGGCTGCAATATATGACAATATAAAAGATTTAAAAAGGTGGAATGAAAACCTTTTTGAACACAAGAATGTGTTTTTGAATTTAGAAATATTGACCTTACTCATCAGCAATACCTGATTTAATGTCATTCTCTGCCTCAGAAAACACCAGATGACATGCCATTCCATCATTTTTGATGACCTCACTTTCTTGTTTCTGAGTAAAGCACCATTTTCTTAGCACCAAACCTGCATAGTATAATAGTACAATAATTGACAAATCATATGCACCATATCATTAAGTCTCAATTTCATGATTTTTGTTCCAACAAAATTCATACATATCAATAATATCTAAATTGATCAGAGGCTATGATGGTCATCTTACTTTTTATCCTTTAGACCAGGTAAGCTAAATCTTAGGGTACTTGTAGGTAAAAGTTTTATACAGAATACAACAAAATTGTTAAACATGGATAAATTATTCTCATATTTTAATAAAGGATATAACTGGTGGCCTGTTAAACACATACATGAATCATAACTGCAGTGGAATATCAGTATATTGACAAGAACAAAGAATGAATAAAAAGATTGTAGTATTTTGCAACACTAGTGAATTTTATCTGATATTCACAAGAAATTATGGGAAATATAACATGTGATACATTTCTGTATTACCTTTCACAGGACAAAATATGTGATCGGTGTCTCGAACACGTTGTAAGATTTCACCATTTGAGTTACAGGTAAATAGTGAAAACAAATCATGGCTGCTCTGCTTCAAACCTAGGTTGAAAAGACACCAAGGTTGAAATCACAATAAGACACTTTATGTCATTGAAAGAAACTTGAAAGTTTACACAGATGCAGGTAACTGGGATGATTATTATAATTTCGTCCAAATACTGGTAATAACTTCATTAAATCCATTGGTCTTACTTTTTGTTATTAAACAGAGGTCATGTTCAAGTTAAACATCATGCATTTATCACACTCTGTCTTTTTTGAAGGTGAATGATACCATAAAGATAAAATATATTTAAGTCCTTCATACAGGATTGCTCCATAACAAACAAGAGATCCCAGAGGGATCTTGGCGCCCACCTTTGTACCATCTTCATTAGTTCTTTGTCAGTTCGATCTTTTCTCTTCTTTCCTCTAATCTGTTTGATCGAGTCATGTTAACAGTAAATGCACCTTGAGGTAACTTTTGATCTAAACTTAATACTGATGTG